AACGTGCAGATCTGTCCTCGCAGAGGAGAGAGAGCTTGTACCTCAATAAAACGTGGTCTTGAAGGTGCCACTGGACTGTTTTCGACTGGGGGGCCGGGGGGGGGGGCTCTGCAACTTACCTGGCTGCTTCTTGCTCTGACTGAGGGCTGCTGGGAGCAGGGGGTGGGGCTTGTTGCATGTGCCCGCCCCCTGGGCTCTTTACTGCCGGAGCTCCGCTCCTGTGCGCTCCTGCTGGAAATGACCCCTGACCACGACACCAAACTGGCTCTCACGAGTTCGGCCTCCCCCTCTTCTCCCTCCCCACTCCCCTTGTGTCCTTTCCCGTTGTCTGCACGTCGCCCCTCCACGTGCCACCTGGAATTCTATAGAACTGTTGCATTTAAATGGTGTTTTATTGTATTTATTATAAAGGTATGCTGTTTTAGGGGCTCTTAGATTGCATTTTACGGCTTGATGTCACCCCCTCTGAGCCAGCTTCGAGGACAGTGGGCTATAAATTAAAGCAAACAAAACAAATAAAATGTGTCCGTAGATAAATATCTGAATAAACAAACTCAGTTTGGCTCCATGCCCTCCCAGCTCTGTTGCCCTTTGCTGGGAGCATGGAACAAATCTGCACAAATTGCACTGTTCAATGCTCTCTATTCTACCAGTAAAGGATTTAGAGTGGGGCAGGGCTATTTTTGGGCAGGAACGCACAGGAACGGAGTTCCGGCTGGCTCCCAAGTTGGCCACGCCCAGCAGGAACTCGTTAGCATAATAGGCCACACCCAGCAGCAGGAACTCATTCGGATTGGCTACATTGGGGGGGTGTGGCCTAACATGCAAAGGAGTTCCTGCTCCCAAAAAAGCCGTGGGTTTTGACAACAAACAAGATCAACAGAATAAGAAGCAAAAGATGGGTGTGGCTGGATGAGCACACTTCTGGTAACATGGGGGTGTGACCTAATATGCTAATAAGCTGTGCTGTCAGGGGTGTGGCCTAATATGCTAATGAGTTCCTGCTGTTGAGTGTGGCCTATTATGCTAATGAGTTCCTGCTGGGCTTTTTCTACAAAAAGAGCCCTGGAGTGGGGGAAGATGAGGTATGACTGCCCCCCCCACCATAAGTACCTACATTATTCTTGGCATTGACGTCCACCCCCCTCTTGATCAGCTCCTCCATCCGTGCCGCGTCATTTCGTTTGGCTGCGTCGTGGAGCTCTTTTTCCGAAAGGAGCACTGAAAAGAATGATTTTTTTCCCTTTAAAACGATGTGACTGATTTGTCTGTTGCAGGTTGTTAAGTAAAGCCCAGAAACTAAAGCCGGGAGGGAGCATTGCGCCGCGTGCATGCCGCCGAGCACATGGATGTTCTGACGGAACAGATGGTCGGCCCAGCCAGTTTGGAGCCTTCCGTCAGCCTCCGCGGCTGAGTAATTAAGTCTGCATCTCTGTATCAGGAATGACTGGTGTGCACTCGCAGCCGCCTGACTGGAAGGGGGAAAAATGTCAGAGCGCGTCATGCAGAGATGCGACGGGGAACCTCCTCTGAAATTCAGGACACTGGGCTCCATTTGTGGATCTGG